CTAATTTGCCGGTGCATTCGATGTAACAAAACGCTCGACACAAACACAATCGCCATTAATTCCAAAATCTTGCGTGGCGCCCAGACGCAGGAGATTCGTGACGTAAACACAATGCGTTATAATAACAATGCAATATCTCTTCATAATGCCTGCTGCGTTATCCAATGAGATTGCAGCGATTCATCACGTCATGCACTAATACTGTTTATTGATAGACTCATGATGTGCTATTGTGCGGTCGATTATACACGCTGCCGCTGAGCAGCAGAGCTGCGGGTGCATACCAGCTGTAAATAGGTCAAAGCAAAGGTTAGCTCGCCGAGTGTTGCGTCGATATCCAATCTCCCTGCGAGCCACAGCGCCTCGCCGTGAGCGCAAGCTGTGGACAGTGTGGTTAGTAGCTGCCTTTTGTTTCAAATAGCTTTCTCAACGCATGGATTTTGCTGGCAACAGAATTGAAAATCATGTCGTACGTTTTTGTCTGTATCTCCGGATTGCGGGTGTATACGAGGAAACGATTTCGCACAATGATAGGCGGATGTACTGTGTACGATTTGAGCTCAAGTTGGTTGCGTTACGCGTAGTAAATCGTAGGTATTTTAAGGCTAGTAAATGACAAATTTCCCTTGTTTATTGATGTCACACTCCTTCCCTATTATCTACTCCTGATATATATATATATATATATCCATGTGGGTCAGCAATGTATGCATGGACCGGCTGCACTGCCACTGGTGCACGATAAATCCGAGCATGATAATTGCTTTCTACACATCACATGCCATCTTTAAAGGATCCTGTTAAGTTTAGGTTCTTTGGCTCTGTCATTCCATATAATATCGGAATCCTCTTTCTTCCCCTTTAGTTGATTGTATATTTGAAGCTTTTTCTATTGCAATCTGCAGTGTTGATCTGTCTATTTGATCAGCTTCGTCTCTTTTAATCTTCGATATAGTCCCTTGGACTTTGAAGACTAATATTTACGAGGTTAAATAAGACACCAGACAGGTTCATGATCAGCTCTTCTTCAATTGTCATGTTTTGTCTGATATCTGAGAAAAGAATTGAAGTTAGTTGTTGCAAATTACTCCTTTGAAGTGACGATAAACGTTCACACAAATTGTATGAAATGGTATCGGCTTCACTAATTAAATGTAAGGGTTTCTTACGCTGTGATTGTGATTGTGGTAAATCCCTAGCTACGGATAAGAGAGAAGAACGATACTGATCGTGTCATCATTCATGTTTTTGTCACTCAGAACAGAAACAATAAAAACTACAACAAATAGTAAAAGATCGTTATAATGTCAGTTTTATCATTATAATATTGCAGAGATTTTGCCATGCCGGCTCCTGGAAACACCGTCTTCAGCCTACCACCACAAGTAGATGGTCAAATTAGAGGTTACCTGACTATTGAAATTGGAAATATAAAATGGAAAGTGCCACAATCAAGCCGAGCCAGAGCGGGAGCACGTGTGCGGTGCCTCTGGTGGGGCGAGAAAGGTCAAGGCTGCATACTAAGGTCAGGGTCAAATTAACTTCACGAAATAGTGGCTAACTAAAAGTCTTTCTTCTAGAACTGGCTGTATTTTATGAGTGATGCCTACTTTCAGACCACCTCTCACTCATTCAAAGGCAAAGGAGAAAGTAAAGAATAGCGATGACAATCCATCAGTTGTGATCTATTCGGTGAGGAGTGGAGCCAAGCAGTTTGCATCATATCTAAAAGGTAAGTTGCTTCAAACTCAACACAGTAATTCAAATGCGAAAACACATCCTTACACAAGACATGCATCGCGTTACTGTGTGCCTAGACAATTCATTTATTTCATTTTATTTATTTATTTAAAGACAGTACATTGGTAAAGGATATATCAAAATGACTTTGCAAACTCCTTACCATCGGAAACATCACAAAAAAATCACACAGCATACAAATTTTTCCCACCAGGCAATGGGTCGTGACGATTTTGTTTTCATAGACATGGAATACCTGATACTGGAAGTATTCGACGAAGCTCCAAGGGGTGGTGTCATAGGCACGGTCAGGATAAAGCTCGGCACGCTAAGCGCTGAACATCCGGTGACGGGGTGAGTGCGGCAGGAGTGGTAGGAGTACACACTCAGTAGATTGCAGTGATTCAGTGAGGGCGTGCCTCACAGTGTGGTTTTCCGCGCCCTCTCATTCATTCAGTATAGAGGCGTTTAGTTCAGGTTAAGCAAGAGGCAGCAGCAACCTTTCGGTTAGCACTCGGACCTTTCAGCAATGTTGACTAAAAATGAAGCGTCCGAGACCGAATTTGTCTCGATTTCGCGAAGAGAAAATGAACGATTAACGCTAGCGCATTTTCTATTCATGCACCTCCGTGGTCCACATGGTGAGAAATAGATGCTGCTCATTGCCAGAATTTCGGCACGAATGTCGCAATGTTTAATTGTGAACTTCTCCTGCCTGCTGTTGTAGGAGGCTACCAATAGTAACGCCAAAGAGGGAGATCGCCGGCCACATGCAGGTGAAACTTTCTATCAATGACGTGCAGTCGGCGTTTCTGAAGCCGGTGCCAGAGAAAGACGTGCGGGTACAGTCTGCCATGTCCGAAGCAGATGAGAACGTAAGCTACGAGAGAATAGAGGTGAGTGAGCTCGCATGCCGCGTCACAGAGCCGTGAGAGATATGTCTCACCTCGCCACACCTTAATCGGTCCGTGGAAATCGTGCCGATGGAAAAACTCGTTTTTCCCATAAAAAAAGAAAGATCTTGCATGCATATATGCTCGAAAAACATGTGCAACATCTAGATAAACGTGTTTGCCTGCCTACCTAAACATGCATAAGTTTATGGGATGCATCACACTGACCAGGAAATCAATGTCGTTTGAATTAAAGCTACGGAGCACATCGCAAATATATGTAGCAAATGTACATATATATATATATATATGTAGTTACTAAGTATATGTAAAAAGCGAGATCTCGGTGCTAATAGAACGAAATGTGCCTCATTGCAGGACGAAAATAGCAGCGTTGCTTCCCTGGAGGAATCGAGAGCTGCCGATCTCATCTCTACGATGACTGAGGTCATAGAGAGAGGCAAGCGACTAAGGGAGGCGGCGACGATCGTACCTCGAGCCGACTCCAAAAAAGAGAAAGCCAGGTCGACGCTAAAGATGTCTGAGAAACGGGGCACGCTTGACACAGGATTGTCACACGATTCGGCACTTAACAGGGGCCTGTCACACGATTCTGTACGTCACAAGAATGTGTCACACGATTCGGTGCTTGACAGGGGAGTGTCACACAGTTTGCTGCTTGACAGGGGAGTGTCACACGAATCAGTGCTTGACAGGGGAGTGTCACACGAATCCTTGCTTGACAGGGGAGTGTCACACGAATCCCTGCTTGACAGGGGAGTGTCACACGAATCCCTGGTTGGCAGGGGAGTGACACACGAATCTCTGCTTGACAGGGGAGTGTCACACGAATCCGTGCTTGACAGGGGAGTGTCACACGAATCTCTGCTTGACAGGGGAGTGTCACACGAATCCGTGCTTGACAGGGGCATATCACACGATTCCCTGCTCGAAAAGGACATGTCACATGTTTCCCTGACCGACACGAGCACGTCACGCGATGCCCGCCATCTTCGTTCCTCCGGTGCGGGGGCGCCATCGCAGCAGGAAGCTTACGACGTCGGCACGCGGCTCGTAGATCTCGTTGTTGGCGAATTCGTCCCAGGTGGCGCCGCCGACAGCGCGGGGCGACGGCGAGGCGCGGCGGCGGAGCGGGAACTCGCGTCGGACTCGGAGGACCCGCTCCACGACAGCGACCTCCTCGACGAGCTCTTCTACGGTCTCGGGGTCACGCCGCGCGACCCCTGGCCTCGAGACGCAACCCGAGACGACCCCCTGCTTCGAGACGCGACCCGAGACGAGCCTCTGCTTCGAGACGCAACCCGAGATGGCCCCCTGCTTCGAGACGCGACCCGAGACGACCCCCTGCTTCGAGACGCGACCCGAGACGACCCCCTGCTTCGAGACGCGACTCGAGACGACCCCCTGCTTCGAGACGCGACCCGAGATGACCCGAGACAGGTCGCGACGGGACGAGAGACGGCCGCGCGCGACGACGCGTCTGTCAAACAGACGGCTAACATTTCCATGCAGACGGAGCTGCCGCCGGCGTCGTCGGGGAATGTTGAGGCGGCGTCTGCCGCCGCGCCGCGCTCGCCGTCATCGTCGAGTGTAAGGAATGCGATCGTGAGTGTAGTTTTCGTAGAGCTCGGATGTTGTTGTTGTTGTTTTCGGTTTCTTTATTTTATACTGGACTCCAAGGGTTTAATTCCACATCAGTGGAAACCCACTCCAGGAATCTGGCTCGGTCCAGTTTTGGCAGCTCTCACGCTTGTTCTCCATGTGACACGATCCAAGGGGTCTACAGCGGAGAGATTCCACTGTTCCCTATCCTTCTTCACAACCTCCTTCCAAGACATCTTCGGCCTCCCACATCTCCTTACACCAACAACTCGAACTTCACCCACTGTCTTGATGGCACCGGTGGAGCGCTGAACATGGCCATACCAGCGTGTAGAGAGAATAATAGAGGGAATGACAGAGAAATAACGGATGATAGAGGGAATTTAATGGTATCCTGTCTCGGATGTCACCGGCCACTTACTTGTAATGCAAGATAATTAACGTGCAGCTGGGGAAGCAGGAGAATTAATCAGATTGGGGCGTGAGAAACCAGAGATTAGGCTTGACATTTTAATAAAATAAAAATGGAAATCATGTTTTTTCGATAAATTAATGTTTCAAAGTGGTTGTAAAATATCACAACTCGTATCAATTATTATTATTACAATGAGTTCGCAATTTAAACGTGTGTATAAATGTTAAGCATGCAAATGTTTGTCCAACTGAGTACCGGTATGCATGTTTATGTTTTTCGTGCAGCCATTGTACGTGCTTCTCACCGTTGAAGAAGGCGAGAATCTTGCCGTGCGAGAACATCACACAGGTGGAGCCACCTGCCCTCCGAGTCCGTTTCTCGTGTGCAGGATGTTCGACGCAGGAACAACACTGATGTCTCAGATCTGTTGGAACAGCTGCAACCCAAAATTTGATTTTTCTCAGGTGAATGTTGGCAAGTGCTGTGCATTTAAGTGAGCAGCCATCTTGGCATGCTTTTTAGGATTTTAATACTCAGGAGGACGATGCCGATTTCAGAATAACGTTCCAGTGGGAATCAGTCTGCAATAATATAATTATGAATATACATATATGTACTCAATATACTTGGGATATACAACTTGGATATACATGTACATATGTGTGTGTGTGTGTGTGTGCATGTGCACATGTACATGTGTATATATATATATATATATATATATATTCATATTTACATTTTGGTTTGAGCGCAGGTTATACCAGTGTTGATTGATGAGCAGTTACTGCAGAGATGCAAGGGAAATGTGGCCGTTATTGAGGTGTGGAGCAAAGGCAGGGACGAGGACAAGGTAAATTGCACTGCCACACCGTCATTTACGGCACCAATGTTTGAATTGAATACGAGTGGTATTGTGTTAAGATGATTCGTCTGCCTTATAGATGAGAAGGCACATATTCAAGATATTCCCGACCTTTAGACTGACTATTCAAAAGCTACAGGAAAATGTTTTTGCATGCAGTAGGGTGGGTTATGAAGTAACATTACCTATAGCGGATTCACGATATCAACTCTGTGATATTTTTAGTTTTACACACTTCTCGTCACGTCATCTTGTCTATTGCAGCTGCTGGGATTGGTGAAAGTGCCTCTGCATCAGATATACCTCTCCTATAGGAATGCAGAGATAGCAGAAGCACTGTTGCTCGCTGAGCATCCTCTGGTGATCAAAGATGGCAGCATGCCAGTCATGGCTCCTACCAGCAACTCGCTCCGAGGTCGACTGAAGGTGAGGCATCGCATTTAGGTCGAACTGTAAAGTTTGTAGCCGTGAAAATAAAAGATTTTGCGTGAAATGCTATCGCGTTAGTATCGAATCATACGAGGGGGGGGGGCGTGTAAACCCCTACCGTTCGTAATGTGATGAATTATTATACTCGCTCATTTATCATTGTCGTATGCTGTCTGTTGTTATGCGCTTGATGTTGCTGCAGGTGCTGTTTGCCGTTGGATCCCTGCAGCAAGTCACTGCCGTTCAGCTGAGGCGACAGCCAGTTTCTTGTAGCACACAGACATCTGGTACAGAGGGGAGGATATCACGTGTGCCTCTGTCACAGGTAGGTTACAGCTTGTATCTCCATCCTATGTAAGGTACAGCATGCTTCTCTGTCACAGGTAAGTTACAGTATGTGCCTGTGTCACAGGTAAGTTACAGTATGTGCCTGTGTCACAGGTAAGTTACAGTATGTGCCTGTGTCACAGGGCAGGTAAGTTACAGTTATGTGCCTGTGTGCACAGTAAGTTACATATGTGCTGCTGTGTCACAGGTAGTTACAGTATGTGCCTGTGTCACAGGTAAGTTATCAGTAATGTGGCCTGTGTACACAGTTTAAGTACAGTATGTGCCTGTGTCATCAGGTAAGTTATAACAGTAATGTGCCTGTGTCACAGGTAAGTTACAGTATGTGCGCTGTGTACAAGGTAAGTTACAGTATGTGCCTGTGTCCACAGGTAGTTACAAGTATGTGCCTGTGTCACAGGTAAGGTTACAAGTATGTGCTCCTGTGTGCACAGGTAAGTTACATTGTATGTGCCTGTGATCCACAGGTAAGTTAACAGTATGTGCCTGTGTCAGGCAGGTAAGTTACAGTATGTGCCTGTGTCACAGTAGACAGGTGCGCACAGGTAGTAGCATCCGCACAGTGTAAACTAGTCTTGCAAGTGTTGCATTCTATTGCCGCCATCACAGACAAGTTACAGTATGTGCCTGTGTCACAGGTAAGTTACACTTACTGTATGTGTCCCCATCACAGGCAAGTTACAGTATGTGCCTCTGTCACAGGTAAGTTACACTTACTGTATGTGTCCCCATCACAGGCAAGTTACAGTATGTGCCTCTGTCACGGACAAGTTACAGTATGTGCCTGTGTCACAGGTAAGTTACACTTACTGTATGTGTCCCCATCACAGCCAAGTTACAGTATGTGTGTCTGTCACGGACAAGTTACCACGTGCATCCCACTGTCAAAGACAAGTTACAGTATTTATCTCTGTCACATGTAAGTTAGCATTATTTAAATCCTGTCAAAGACAAAGTTAGCAGTATTTATCTCTGTCAAAGACAAGTTTACAGTATTTATCTTCTGTCAAAGACCAAGTTACAGTATTTATCTCTGTCAAAGAACAAGTTACAGTATTTATCTCTGTCCAAAAGAACAAGTATACAGTTTTATCTCTGTCACATGTAAGTTAGCAGTATTTATCTCTGCAAAGACAAGTTACAGTATTTTAATCTCTGTCACATGTAAGTTAAGCAGTATTTATCTCTGTCACATGTAAGTACAGTATTTTCTCTGTCACATGTAAGTTACAGTATTTATCTCTGTCAAAGACAAGTTACAGTATTTATCTCTGTCAAAGACAAGTTACAGTATTTATCTCTGTCAAAGACAAGTTACAGTATTTATCTCTGTCAAGACAAGTTACAGTTATTTATCTCTGTCACATGTAAGTTACAGTATTTTCTCTGCAAGACAAGTTTACCAGTAATTTTATCTCTGTCAGCATGTAAAGTTAACAGTATTTAATCTTCTGCACATGTAAGATTACAGTATTTATCTCTGTGCACACATGTAAGTTACAGTATTTATCTCTGTCAAAGACAAGTTACAGTATTTATCTCTGTCACATGTAAGTTACAGTATTTATCTCTGTCAAAGACAAGTTACAGTATTTATTCTTGTCTGTAAGTTACATATATCGGAGAGTCAGTATATCTCGTATGTAATACAGTATTTTATCTCTGTCAAAGACAAGTTACAGTATTTATCTCTGTCACATGTAAGTTACAGTATTTATGCTCTGTCAGCATGTGTAAAGTTACGCAGTATTTATCTGCTGTCAGCATGTAAGTTACATAATTTATCTCTGTCAAAGTAAGTTACAGTATTTTATCTCTGTCAAAGACAATTTACTAGTCATTATCTCTGTCAAGACAGTTCTGTAAGTTTACTCGTCAGCTTAATTTAAGTTTAACTTTGTCACATGTAAGTTACAGTATTTAATCTCTGTCAAAGACAAGTTACTGATTTATCTCCTGTCACATGTAAGTTACATGTATTTTATCTCTGTCACATGTAAGTCTACAGTATTTATCTTCTGATCAAAGATCAAGTTTACTGTATTTATCTCTGTCCCCACCATGTAAGTTACTGTATTTTATTCTCTGTCAACATGTAAGTTAACAGTATTTTTATCTTTGGTCACATGTAAGTTACAGTATTTATATCTCTGTTCAAAGACAAGTTTACTGTATTTATCTCTGTCACATGGTAAGTTACAGTATTTATCTCTGTCACATGTAAGTAAGCAGTATTTAATCTCTGTCACATGTAAGTTTACAGTATTATCTTTTGTACATGTAAGATTACAGTATTTACTGCTGTCAAAGACAAGTTACAGTATTTATTCTCTGTCACAACTGTAAGTTTACAGTTATTTAATCTCTGGTCAAAGACAAGTAACAGTATTTACCTCTGTCAAAGACAAGTATACACGTGTTTATCTCTGTCACATGTAAGTTTAGCAAGTATTTTCCCTGTCAAAGACAAGTTACAGTATTACCTCTGTCAAAGACAAGTTTACAGTAATTTATCTCTGTCCACATGTAAGTTTACAGTATTTAATCTCTGTCAAAGTACAAGTTACAGGTGTTTATCTCTGTCACCATGTAAAGTTACAGTATTTATCTCTTGTCAAAAGACAATGTAACAGGTTGTTATCTCTGTCAAAGACAAGCTTACAGTATTTATCTCTGTCAAAGACAAGTTTACAGTAATTTATCTCTTGTCACAATGTAAGTTACAGTATATTATTCTGCGTCAAAGAAAGTTACAGTTAATTTATCTCACCACAGGTAGTAACAGCACGTGTTTCTGTCCCGCTGCTGTGCCACGGCGATTTTCGCCAGTCATCTCCGCGTTCTCACAGACGCCGCGCGTGTTTTCAGCCGGGCCGCGACGTTGTCACATTTTACGAGTTTTGAGTGAATGTGGAGGGAGTGACCAAGCCCTGAGCCTGCCCGAGGGCATGTATATGGGCGAAGCGGAACTGCTTTTTTTTTACGTGAAGACTGGTTTTTCCCAGCTCAGCGAGAAGAAGACGGAGACGTCTACGAAGACGATGATGGTTCCGGCGAGTAGTTTGCCCGCGCCGCGGCTCGCGATCGCGAAGGCCTGTCGCCGCGGCAAACCGTTCGATCGCGGTTCGATTTCCAAACTAAGAGTTCTAGTTAGTTATTCTCGGTTACCGATCTGTTTTATAGTTTGCCTTGCCTTGTAGCGCTCTTTTTTAGGGAGGTTGGGAGGGTAGGGGCAGCACCGCCCCCCTACGATTTGAGGGGAAAATGCAGATGAAACCAAATATATGTAAAGCGCAAAGCAACACTTGCCTTACTCTAATTAAAGAATTTGAACGAAAAAGAAAGCAGTCGGAAATAATTCCGATAACCTGGCCGGCCCAGGTTTCGAAAATTTCGATTTTCTACTACATAACCTATAGGCAAAATCCTATAAAAATTAGCCAGTCCTGCTCGAAAGATGCCAAATCCGCCCAGACTCCGGAGAGGTGTTGGAAGGGGTGAGGGGGAAGAATGGGCGCTATTTCGCTACCATTGAAAAGAGAAGTTCCCAATGCTCGCCGCTTACGAACTGAACTCTCTCCTGCTCCTCGTCGCCCAAGGTGGCCTTGGTGATCGACGCATACACAAGACGACGTGACAACTGTTCCTGCCAGACCCCGGACGTTCAACGACGTCCGCCGCAACACAGTGTTCACGCTCGAGACGGCCCGCCGAGCGGTTCACCGTCAGAGGGCGCTGCTTATGCGCGTGCGCGAGCAACGCGGAGTTTTCGCGGCGGCTTTTCCCGTTTGAAGTGTGGAGCCGCTTCTACCATCCGCTGGCGTGCGAGACACAGCTCGTTGGCAAGGGTGGGCGGGACGACGACGGCGCTGCCGTCGACGGGTACGCACCGCGTTTGTCGGCAACATTGTGGGTAGTTGCGGCGTTGCGAGTTAACGTTTTCGACTCTTGTTGTCGGCAACATTGTGCGTAGATTGCGGCGTTGCGAGTTACGTGCCCGAACGTCTTTGTTGTCGGCAACATTGGTGGCGTAGTTGCGGCGTTTGTGAGTTACGTCCGACGTCTTGTTGTCCCGGCAACACATTTGGTGGGTCGTTGCGGCGTTGTGAGTTAACGTTCCGACGTCTTGTTTGTCGGCAACATTGTGGCGTAGTTTGCGGCGTTGCTAGTCCTTGAATTGAAGTGACTTTCGAAGCGTGAAGCGTCGTTGCAAAAGTTGCGAGCTTTTTAAGACCGGGAATCAGTCGTGAAACTGTTGTGACGTGTTCCCTGCTTTGACATTAGCTTGCAATTAACTTTGGCATTCGTGTGGTGTTTAACGGATTGTTCTAGCATTTTCCTTGTTTTTTCGTTTGTTTGCGCACGTATCTGGATGATTTCATTCTTGGCAGGCATTGCTTTCCTACTTGCGAAAAGGTGTGCATGGCTGACTAGTGCACGGAAAAGAGCTACAGATGGAGCCACCAGCTGAAAGTTTCCGTCTTCCGCGTAATCTTACATTTGCACTACACAACAGGAAAGCAGGTGGCACGTGCTCTTCATCACTCACGAATTAATATATTTGTAGTCAACAAGTTATAAGATATACGGTGAAGCTATCTCAAATGCATACGAGGCTAGTAAGGGAAACTTTCAAAAAGTGTTCGTCCATAGGCAGGTTGTCATATTCTAAGAGAGGCGAATTTCAACTGCCCGACTGCCAATTCAGAGGGAATGTCAAAAGCACCCTTTAATAGACAGCTGGTCGATTCATACGCAGTGTTCAGTCTATAACAGGGTTTTGAGCTTACTGTTCGAAATGATGCAAGTGCTGACAACAATGAGCATCCAATTACAATAAAGCGTAGTGTATAAGCGTACATTCGCGTTTATGTAAATGTTGATATATAATGTTAAACTCTCACCGTATATCAAGAGCTAATAATACCTGTATTTATAGGTATTATTTAGCTCTTGCCGTAATATGTATACGTGATCTGATGCTAGAAACTCCAAATGCATGGCTTTCCCCTTTCCCGCAGGTCACCACGGTGTGTTCGGCTCGAGCTTCTAACGCTCAGACTCAGCTCTT